AAATAGTCAAAACGGATTCAGGGGACCTCAAAACGTAAAAATCCGTCGAAAACTCGAAGTCGAAAAAAATCATGATTCCTATACTTTCCTTATATCTGTATACAGATAGGAAAGTAAAAATTGGTATCGTTACAAAATGAAAAAAATATTTTTAGTTCTAAATTTAGTACTAAATAACTTAATTTAGGGCTAAATTTTAGTACTTAATTTAGTATCGTGACATGCAGCCATAATATTAGGTGTTATTTCTATAATAATGTTGTCTAAAATCTTTAGTTTTGCATATATTCATGAATTGCTAGAAAAATAATTCTCTTAGCTTTTTATCACCTGCTGTTTAATGAATTAGTATATAATTTCTAAATTAATTGCATTTATATATTCTTGTACTCTTACTCTGTAATTGGGTCTTGACCTGTTGAGTAATGTAATAATAAATAAATAAATTACGCGTTGCAAAATCGTAAAAGCCAGGGGGGTGCAACTGCCCCCCCTTGCCCCCCCTAAACGACGCCCATGGCCGAGACTATACATAGCGTTTTACCGGGAGCGTTTTAACAGGAACCGTTTGGCGGGACAGGTACAACATATTGTTTTAAATGGCGCCGTTTATACACCTGCTGTCCCGCCAAACGGGTCCCGCTAAAACGCTATGTATAGTTCCGGCCTTAGTCTACCCGTACGTAGCTTTAATAATGATTATATTTATTACAAATGAAAATTAGAAAGCGCCTTAACGTTAAATTATAACAAATTGCAGAAAATGTCAACTTTTTAGTTAGATTTAAATGTGCAAAAGTAATCATAGAAGAAAATATATTTACCCGCGGCTCTAATAGAAAACTCATTTTGATTTATAAATGTATAACGTAACTTCATTTCCTTATCTGATAACACATTACTTAATTATTTTAATAAAATGGTGTGTGACAGCATGTCATTTTAATTTTGTTTTAAAATTTGAATTAAAAGACCGGCCCTCATCAATAGAGTATTTTAGTACGTATAAAACGCATCTCTAATACAAAGATATTTCACAGCAGAAATCTGCAACGTGTGCTCGGAATATGTTAACTAAAAACACTCAGAATCGCCAACATGAAATTCCTTTTTACCGCTGGATGTTATGAGAACGTGTCATTCAAATGCTGTGATGGCCCCATCTGCTCGAGGGCACACTTTGTACGATGTGTCGTCTATCCCGTTAGGGTAGACGTGAAAGGGGTCCTCCTGATACCGTTTATACCACTGCCTCGATGGATTTTGTTTTATCCTTGGTCGTTCGGAATTGTCTCTTTATTTTGAGAATAATAGGACTATGTGGGAAGAAAAATCAATGAATGGTTTCTATTTTATGAGTCCAGAACCTTCAAAAGTTTCACTTCGACGAAAGTGTGTAGTGTATGTGTTTTTTTAGCAATTTATCTTTATTATAAACTACAGTAAACTTAAAATACGAGTTCATCCAATAGTATCTTGTACTTTATGTTCTGCATACGAGGATGGGATGAAAAGTTTCCGGCCTAACATAGAAAGCAACACCATAGTGACTGAATAAGAATTTATTTTTCTACATAGTTTCCCTTGTAGGGTAATACATTTGACCCAACGATGTTCAAGCGACTTAATATCGTCACTGTAGTCTGATTTATCCAAATCGTCAAAATAGGCGTTTGTGGCTGTAATTCTTCTAAATCCGTGGAAATTTTTTTGCCAGAAAGAAATTTTTTTAGGTCTGGAAACAAATAAAAGTCTGACGAGGCTAGGTCTGGCGAATACGGAGGATGGTTTAACAGCTCAAAGCCTAGCTGATGAATTTTAACCATTACAAGAACGGACTTGTGGCAAGGTACATTGTCCTGATGAATGTAATGGTTACTCTTCTAGTTCCGTTATTTTAATATTATATAACTATATTTTTAAAATGATTGTCCCATCTCTATTAGGATCATTAGTTTCATTCTGTCGCTACAAAATTTTTGGTTTTATAAGTTGTATGTTCGGATCGAAAATGAATTTGACTTTCGACAGGTATTACTGATAAAAGTCCTTTTACAACAATACCTCAGAACGAGGCAGTCGATATTATTAAATCTACTAATATTTAATTAATCTTAAACAGTATGTGGTATTTTTATTAGTGGTGACAACCATCAGTATTTTATGGTGAGTACAAGATTAATATTTACAAGATTTCTGCAAAGATTAACGAAATGAATCGGGAATTATTTAGTTGTTAAAAATGTGAGGTTAGATGTTTTAGAACGTGTCATTAATTTCTGTAAAGATCTATTTTTATTCATTCTGTATTCAGAAACATCTTACCTCCTTATTCTTTATTTTTCCTTATTACGTAAACTTCAAAAAGGTCTCAATCTTTTAGATAAGTCAACTTTTGGATGGTTTAAACATACACTGAGAAGATAATTGAAAATATGGTTTAAACATACACTGAGAAGATAATTGAAAATATGGTTTAAAATACGCTGAGAAGATAGTTGAAGTTATGGTTACAAATATGTTAATTTACGGTTAGAAGATATATGAAGTTATTGTAACAAACATGTTAATTTATGGTTAGAAGAAAACGCATATTTGTAGGAGACCGTCCTTATTTGACCGACCCTTAAAGAAAGATTGAAGACCTAACACCATTCCTACTCTGAGATAAGTTTCATTTTTTATCATTGAAAATTAAATAAAGAAGTAATTTAAATGAATCATGGCTTGTGTAGATTGTAATTGTTACTTGCCTGCATAAACATATACATTCTTGTTTTAACATCAGTCATATTAATTATATTTGCCAAACTATTATAATTCGCCTTAAATGATATGTTTATGTAAGTTTGGTGGCGCCCTCCTTCCCTTTCCTATAGTTAAGTTTTGTCAAGGTTATTAAGTGCTACTCACGGCCCTAATTAAAATTGAGCTAAAACACGGTAAGTAAAACCAACATCACATGTTACATGAAACAGAATTTTCTTTTTTGCCAAACCAGGGCGTTTTTCGCTTATATTCTGTTTAAGCTGGTCCAGTAAGTCGCTGTAGTACTCATAATTTATTGTTTTTCCTTTTTAGAGATAATCTATTAGGAGTAACTCTTTAGCATCCCAAAAGACCTTTCCAGCAGACGGTACTGCCTTTGCCTTCTTTGGAACTGGTTCATCCTTTGCCGTCCACTGTTTGGACTGTTGTTTAGTTTCAGGAGTATAATGATAAACCCATAATGATAAACCGTAATAAATCTACGCAAAAAGTCCCCTGGATCACGTCTAAACAGTGCCAAATTCTCCTCTGAAATGGTTAGCCGCGTGAGCTTCTGATCTGACGTGAGCAAACGTGGCACCCATCGGGCGTATAGCTTTCTCACACCTAAAACTTTACACAAAATAAAGTGAACTCGCTCTTTTAATATGCCCACAGCTTCAACTACCTCTTTCAATTTTAATCTGCGATCTTTTAGAATTAGTTTGTTAACGGTTTGCACCATTTCTTCAGAAGTTGCAGTTTTTGGCCTGCCAAAACGCAGAGCATCATTAGTGCTAGTACGACCACGTTTAACTCCGCTACCCAGGTTTTAACTGTGGTAAATGAAGGAGAAGATTCCCCTAGTATAGCATCTAGTTCAGCTTTGATTTCCGTCGGCAATAATCCTTTAATATGGAAATATTTTATCACCGCTATTATCTCGTTTTTTCCATCTTTTAAAAGTGGCGTACTTTATAAGCTTTTAAAATAAACTTCGAGCGTTTACTGACGACAAACAAGGCTACACAGACATGTTGAAACAGGAAAGCAATCGGGCCTACTATAAGTTAGGCTGAACACTTTTTATCCCATCCTCGTATGTTTTTTTTAGCAATAATATCTTCTACTTTATGTTCTGCATAAATCTCCACTGTGCTTTGGTTGTACATAATTTCTCATCACTAATTCAAATGGTTCGACCCTTCTGAGCCTTCCCATTAGGTATCAATTGTCAAGGAACTAAAATTTCAATATTGACATATATACAGTCTTTTTTCGTTTTCTCGCGATTATTTTCTTTTCTTCTTCGTCGGTAGGTATTTTCAGATCTCTGTGAAGGGTTGAGTTCCTTACATACTCGCGCCTTAGTACTACTGCCCTTAATATTTTGTTTTGAAAACGTATTATAATTGTTATTTTTACTATCGCACCCCCAGAGCTGTGTGCATGATTCACACTGTATATTTTGAATATTTAATTAACAAAATCATCGTTAATTACAAATTATCCTAGCTCTTTTCCAAGTTATCAATATCAAAGTAACCAAAGGCGAATTCCAATTTATTCCTTTTTGCAGCCATCCTTCATCAATTTCTAAAACACAATGGTTGTTGGTAAATAGACCTAAATAGACACATCGTTATCGATCCGATATCCTTTTAGAAATCTTGTCATGTGGTTGGGAACGTTGTTAATTTTCTGGCAATTGCCGCGGATGATGTGTTATTAAAGTTAATCAGGATGTAGGGACCGGTATTCTATTTCCGAACAACTTTTCGTTCTCTTTGATTAGATTTTATATAGTTCGATGGTTAAGAGACGATTTTGTTGATTCAGTTTAATATTGAATTGTTTTTTATTGAAAAATGTTACTCGTGTATTATTAGAAATAACTAAAAGTGTTTCTTAAAAATCTGTTTCTACAACCACCTCAGTAAATCTTCTTTATTCTAAAAAAGGATATGCTTATACTTGCTAAATATGAAGAAAATCCTTCTACATTTATTCATAGACAATAATTTGAAACAGAACCAGAAAAGTAAATGGGTATGCATAAAAAACTTATTTATTTGCTTTGATAATTCATGGATTTTATTTCTGAATCACTTCGTTATGTACCTACGTATATTGGCAATGAATCTTCAGTTTCTAATTTAAAAAATAGTCATCTACGTATTCGTGTATCAAAAATCTAAATACCTTTGTGTGTTTTTTTATTGCATTACTGAAATACTAAAATTCTTGAAAGACAAAATGTTTGGAATGTACCTAGGAACGTAAACATTCATTTCTACAAAATATACTGTTGAATTATTATCTTCATTCAGTTTTAAATTGATATAGTCGAAGAAAGTTTTAAATTATAGATTTTTAAACATTTATACTACTATATAATAGTGAGAATATTGATGATATAAAAAAGGTAAGTGCAATATGTAAATCAGAATTCTGTAATGAAGTTTTTTAAACTCCTAACACCAATTGATAGGATACTAATAAAAATACTCTTGTTATTCCGAATTCGTACAATATCGTACAAGATCTTTTAAAATCTGCAAAAATATACAGGGCGTCCCCTTTAAATTAAAAAAGTTGTGGGTATTTCCAGTGAAACCTTAAGTACAGTAGTTACAAAAAATATGGCATCAGATGCGTTATGCGTCATTGTACTTGTCTGCAAAGTTTCATAAATATCGTCCTTTTCGTTTTAAAGATATTTATTTGGTTCCATACTATATCCCAACCCTGTATATAAAATAAACCTAAAACCAGTCGATTTTAATTGAAAATTCCTAAGCAGATTTCCTGGTTTTACATTTTTTTATGAAATAATTTTGTGAGCATAAAAAAATATTATACGAGGGTCATTCAATAAGTAAAGAGATAAATTCTATAATTTTAAAACTATTCAATGAATGTGTACAATCTTCACCAAGGCAAGTCCACTAGAAGATTGCACCTTAGAAGAACAGCGCTCAATCATTAGATTTTTAGTCGCAGAAGGTGTAAAACCAAGTGAAATTTTTTCTAGAATGTTGATACAGTACGGTGAAAGTTGTATGATACGTGCAAATTTTTACAAGTGAATTGATCGGTTTAATAATGGCCGAACAAGTGTAGGTGATGAACCGCGATGTGGACGTCCAGTGGAAGTTTCTGGTCCCCCGTTGGAATCGAGGATTGATGGACTTATTTGTGATAACAGAAGAATTACTGTTGAAATGATAGCTGAGGAAGTTCAAGTAAGTGTTGAAACTGTTCACAATTTAACGTACAGAAAAACGTGCGCCAAACGGGTCCCAGACAGCTTACTGACGCTCATAAAGAATCCAGGCTTTCCATTAGTCAAGACTTAAAGCAACGAAGTTTGATTGAAGGAGACGCTTTTTTTGAAAGAACAGTGACCAGCGATGAGTTCTGGGTCCATCACTACGACCCTGAGACCAAAAGGCAGAGTATGGAGTGGAAATACACTAACTCTTCAGTTCGCAAAAAATTCAAGGTTCAGCCTTCCGCCGGTAAAGTGATGCTGACCATCTTTTGGGACTCACAGGGTCCAGTCTATTGCGATTTCCTTGAAGATCAGCAAACTATCAATAGCCAATACTACTCTAAGATGCTAGAACACAAAGTTAGACCAGCTATCAGGAGCAAACGCCGTGGACTCTTCTCCTGCCGACAGTCCCGACCTCGCCCCATCTGATTTTTACCTGTTTGGACCACTCAAGGACGCCCTACGTGGAAAAAGATTCGCTAACAATGAGGAAGGAAGAAAAAATTCTTCGCCAGGGGTATTAGGAAGCTGCAAGAAAGATAGGACAAGTGCATAACTGTGGGGGGTGATTATGTTGAAAAGTAGCCTTAATTTTTGAATGATTGAAATAAACCGGTTTTGAGCTATAGGCATTTGTCTTTTTACTTATTGAATGATCCTCGTACATTAATTTTGTAAAAGTGATTTTTCTCACTAGTGTAAAAAATTTCACTTTCCACACTCATAATGTAATGTACTATTTAATAAAACCTACATGTAAGTTATTCTCATTTTTTTTTTAGAAGTTTCAGTTGGATAATTTATTGGACAGTGGAACAAAAAATGGATGAAACAAACATATTTGAAGAAAATCAAGATAAAAATAGTTTTCTTGAAAATAATGAAAGTAAATTCGAATGCTATGATGGATCGACAAATGAAAAAGAAAATGGAGATGAAATTGATACAATGAAAGAAATTAGTATTGAAGGAAATTGTTTTGAGGTAAGTGATATTTATCTAATTAAAGGTGTACCAAATACTATTTAAAAACAAAAAAAAATTGGCTAAAATTGATCAAGGTTCGAGTAAAATTTTTTCCAACTCATAAACTGTCATAAATTGACCCTTACAGTTTATTTATTCACAAGCTGAGGTCAGATATGGTGTTCCACAAGGCACAATTCTAGAGCCAGTACTATTAAACATATATATTAACGATCTGTTTTCAATACAAAGTACTGGTCATAGAATTGGATTTGCGGATTATACTGCAATTATTTATCAAAAATTGTAAGTCGAAAAGGATTTTAAACTTATAAAAAGTTGTTTTAACTGTTAATTTTGAGAAAACTTATTACTTACCATTCTTATTGTAAGGAATGTAAAATATTCGTTGGAGGTATTACTAGCGGAGATAAATTCATACTAATTTTAATAATTAATTATTGTTTAAGGTTACCAAAATAAATGTAAATATTGATAACGTAGAATCTGCAATTGAAACACTAATAGATAAAATATCAGATAGTTTCAAATATAAAGACGATAGCGAGGACGAAAAAGAACCAAACAAAAAACATTTTGAAAAGGAAATATTCGATGGTTTACAAAATGAAAACGAAACTGTTACTGAAGAAATAAATGAAGAAAACAATATTGATTGTAATAAAAATTACGATTGTGTTACGAGAGAAGCATTTCAACAACAGCAGCAACTGCAGCAGCAACAGCAGTTGCAGCAACATAGTTGCGATTGCAAACAGATGAGTAAAATAATAATGAATTTAGAAAAAAAGGTAATTTTAAAGAATAACTATTAAGAGTGTAGCCATATATGAAATTAAAATTAATATATTGTTATTTTAATATTATTTCTAAAATTTGTAGTTAGTAAATGCCAACCAAGACGTTAAAGACCAAATGAATATTGCTGATGGGTGGAGAAAGAAAATGCAAGAATTAAAAGTAGAAATAAATCAACTACAATTAGTAGTAAACGAACAGAACAGAAAAGTAGATTTGTTTGAGAAAAAACAAATAACCACCATTTCGGAAGTGAAAATGTTAAGGGAGGAGTTAGATAAGGAGAGACACATTAAAGAGAAACTAAGTAGAGAGAGAGAAGTATATTTGGAAGAAAAATATATTAATGAGGAAGCATTTTTAGTAAGTAATATGATTTATGTAGTATAGTTAATGGAAAAATAATTAAACAATTATTGAAGAATTCTAAAATTTAGATATAACTAACTTTATCATATTTATTTTTAAGAAAATGAAACAAGATTTAGAAAGAACCGAAAAAACGTTAGTGGCAACACAATATGACTTAGACAATACAATATGTCACCAAAGTAGTGAATTAGAATATGAAAGAAGATTACAATGCCAATCAGAACAAATAAATAAACTTATAGAACAAGTACAATGGCTGGAAACAAATAAAGTCAGATTAGAAATAGGATTGGAACACATGGAAAGGGAACAAGAAGTGTTGCGTGATACTCAAAACAAAATCAAAGGTGACAAAATTATTTACAAGCGAATTTTTTTTTATTTTACAAATTATATTTGCAGTTCTAGAACAGCAACTGGAAAAGGAACACAAAAATAAGACGCTATTGCAAAAAGAGAAGCTTGAAATGGAGAAACGATTGCTTGCTGCTGATGAACTAGAACGACTCGAACGAGCAAAACTGCAAGGAGTAAAAAGAGACGTGAAAAGGATGAAAGCTTTGCTTAAAGATGTGCAGGCACAATTGGAGAGACATAGAGCAGATTCCTCAAGTAAGAGCTTTACTAGGAAATTACCAGTTGCCGTAAAAGTGAAACAACAGAAAATAAAAATAACGTGCACTATACGATCCAATTTTTTTTGTAAAACATTTCTTATTAGTTTTAAAGTTTTATATTTTTTTATGTATGCAATCTTTGGTACTTTTAGTTCTTTCGGTTCAAGGATTAACAGGTAGAAGGGTATTTTAAGATGATCATTGTCTAATTTACAGTACTGTAGTATTTTCAAGATATTTAATTTATTTAAAAAAAAAATAAAATGTTTTCAGGAAAAGTGATTATCAAGCAACTGAAAAACCAAATAGAAGATTTAGAATGCGCTAGAATAATAGCGGTAAAAGCTAAACATAGTCTGGAAACGGACCTATTGGAAATTCAATTTCAATTGGAAGAAACTCTTAGGGATAAACGAATCGAAGAAGAACGCGTTGCTGCTTTATTACGAGAAAAACAATATTTCCAAAGTCTATTGGAAGAAAAAGAAAACAAATTTGAAGAAACTATTGGAAATGAGCTACAAAATGAAGAGCTCTTTAATTCAGAATTAGAAGAACTTTATCAACAATCGCCTGAGCTTAATGTTAATTTTGAATTCATCAAAGATATCGAAGAATTTAAGATATCATCACCAAGGTATGGCCTATTCTTTTTTATTCAGATTGTTTTTAATGCTGATATTTAGGGGAACTTTCTTTACTGTTTAAAAACTATGATAATTGGTGAAAGAATCAAGAAATGCACATCCTGTACTTCTTTACCTTCTAGGTCCATCGTAAATATTTTACTTAATTATTTTGAATATTATTACTGTTTTACAATACCATCAACAATTATGTTTACTAAATTTTTCCGTTCAGGTATGAGATAAAAGTAAATGAGCTGATATCAAAATTAAAATTAGAATGGATCACAAGGACCAGGTTGGAATTGCAAATAAAAAAATTAAAAGAAATACATGATAAAGTTATAGATGAATTACAAACTGCTCAATTAAAGGAACAAGAAGACCAAAATCAAATTTGCAAGTTGCAAACACAATTAAGGTAAATTTATAATGTTATTTAAACTTCAAATTAAAAACAACTTTAAAAACAGTGAGGTCAATATTTCGATTGAAAATTTTAAAAATGTATATAGGAGTAAAACAGTGTAATTGAAAATGGGTAATTTCATAGATTACGATGTGTTCTTTCCAAATTACAACTTTGCCCCTCGTGTCTTTGCCACTCGCGTTGGCATATTGGAAAAATGGCGCCTAAAAGCAGTTTTTTTACAATATTTCCTTTCTTAATCATTTCACAATAAAAACATTAATATACAAAATGAAACTACAGACAATGTGCTACAATTTATATAATAACTTTTGGTATATTGTTAAAAAATTGCTTCTAGGCGCCATTTTTCCCATACGGCGGCGCTAGCGGCAAATATACGTAGTGGCAAAGTTAATATTCGAATAAAGGATATCGAAATCTATAAAATTACCCATTTTCAACTCTCTTAGTAAACTTTCCAGGTACTTTCTTTCCTTTTTTAACCAAATGACTGTACTATCAGGTACTTTCTTATTTCTTTCTTTTTTTTTAATCAAATGACTGTACTATAACATTACTTTTTTTAAGTGAGGTCAAGGAAGAACTAAACAAAAATGCTATTACGTTTATCAAGAAGAATGACTTAGAAAAACGGTATGAACTGCTGGAAGTCGAATCTGCCAACTTAAAAAATGATTTAAGACTCGCATTGAAGAGAATAGAATATTTACAGTCGGCTCTTCAGGGAAGTTTTGAAAACATTACTTTAGAGAGTTCAGATAGGTAAGCCAATAACTAACTGTTAGTCAAATATACTTTTGATATATCTGGGAATTTATTTTCGAATTTTAAATACTTTTTTAAAGATAAATGTCTAATTTTTTCACTAGTTTTCGCTTTTTAATTATATTTTTTATCGTTTATTTTCAAGTTTGTCTCTTTGAAAACTTTCAAATTTTAGTTGTAAATCTTCTTCATTTCTTGTATATATGGTATGTTACTTAATTAATTCAATGTCTTTTGTAGTGAACAAGATAATACCACAGACGCTCCCAAAAAGAAGGGTTCACCAATATTCAGATACAACTTTATAAAGACTGAAAAATCAAACGAGGATATTTAAGAATTTAAAGCACGATTTCGCGATAAAAAATATTTATAATATATTATTAAATAAATAAAAAGGTTTTATAAATTTGTTTTTTATAATTTTATGTCGATATACGTAAAAATAGTCATTACAGGTATGCCTTGAACAAATTTACAATGTAATAAGATTTGAATAAATGATTTTGGAATGTATTAGTCTGGTTTTAATTTCTAAAGTGATTAACGTATGCAAGCTTTCTCTACACGTCAAGGCTACATTCTTAGAAAACGAAAATGGGAACAATACTATGTTCCTTTCCAAAATAACGTGAACCAATAGATACGTGGTTACAACAGAACTATCATCTTCACTTGGCGTTTCATTCATGTTTATAATGCAAGAATGAGCCAGTAATATTCGGTTATTTTCAATGTTGGTATCATGGAGAACACAATTGAGATATACATCCAATAACCTCTCTAATACCTTCTAAAATGCTTTCAGACAACGCAGGATTAACATTTTATTTCTGACCTTTCTTTTAATGTTATTCCAAATTAATTCTATTGCATTAAATATACAATAATACGGTGATGAGCGTATTACAGTATGACCGAATGCCGTGGCCATCTCATCCACGACATAGCTAGGTTTGGGATTTAAGCCTTTCAATATTGCAAGCAAATCTTTTGTTATAGCTGTAGGTGGATTTGATATATCCATTTTGTCCAAAAATGCGGAAATTATCTCTTTTTGAGCTTCTGTTTTTGGAATTTCACTAGTTTGACGAGAGTGGTAAGGGGCATTATCCATTACTCTTACAGTATTTTGTGGTAAATTAGAAAAGAATTGTTTACCAAATCATTTTTCGAACAAGGTATATTCTATACCTTGGTGATAATCTGCTGAACAACTCAAAATATTATTTGCTAATAATAGCAATCAATTCGGTACAAAATCATTTTGAACATTTTGCAGATTGATCACTCCAACGTTCCATACCTTTGAAGATTACATTATTTCTATCACTTTCAAAAGGCCTTCAAAAAGCCATTTTTTTATAAATCAAAAATTCCAACAGTAATTTTAATACAACACTGGATAAACAATGTCCACTTAACACAGCGATGACACAGCCAAGCGTGGCGAAGAACCAATTAGAACATAAGTAGAGCAAAATCACAGACATACGATTGATTATCCCAGTCCAGGTTGCCCGGGGTTTTTTATGGGCTACCACAAATAGAAATTTGAGAAAGGCTTGGTTCAGCCAATAGAAGACGCTAAAATGAAGCTGTTTATCAATAATCGAACACCTTTCGATCTCGTCGTACAGCGATGACAGGCATAAAATATTTATGAGATACTATCTTCGAGCAGACTATATATTAGTATCATGTGCTTCTGATAGCTTATATATCTAGAGTCACACATTTTCTAATAAGGAGACCACTTATTTACAGAACGAAGAAGACTTTGACAAACACGTCAAATTTCTTAAATTATTTACAATACGATGAACAACTAGTATAAATTATTCTTGTACACTTTTGTGTTTAAAATTTAAAAAATCGATTTGATTATTCACTAAATTAACAGTAAAAAAATAAACCAATAATGGTGCTGAATTTTCCAGGTAAAAGTAAACGTTGCGATGAGAAGACCAGAGTGTTGCGTTGCATTAAAGCAATGAAGAAAAATCTGAACAAAAGTAGGTGTAACTATTATCTAAAATGTAATTTTTATACTAGAACGTCTGGTATATCCATTTCATGCTTTTCTTGTAATTCATGTCCTCAAATATGTTGCTTGCCTATAATTTTGCTACCAAGATGTACTGAAATATCGTCTTGTTCAACACCACCACCATCACCTGCTTGTCTTCAGCCATCCCTTAATATTATTCTGCCTTCAAATCAATCTCCACCATTACGATGTTCTCCATTAGATTGTTATCAACCAACAGACTCTTATTCTCCACCAACAGATTCCAATCCTCCACTAATAGACTCCAGTAATTCTCCACCAACAAATTTAGATTCTTCGCCAATAAAATATTTTTCTCCACCAGTAGATTCTTATTGGTTTACACCGCCAGACTATTGCTCTATATCACCAGTATGTTGCGCTCCTCATCTCCCTTCATCAGGCTTTAATTATCCACAAGTCTATTACAATTTACAACCACCAAATGAATATGTTTTCTTACCACGATGTGCACCAACGGCAAGTTTATGTTCTTTGTGTGCCTCGCATTCTTCCGATTCTTGTCGACCTGAGATTATTACATCTTGTCCAAAATTGGTTACTCAAAGTTGTCCAATTCGAATTTTAACGAGTAATCAACGTTTAAAAAATAACCAAATATCTAGCATTATTAAACCGTTTTATATTCGAAGTTATGAACTAAGAGGTAGTAAATTTTTAAAATGTATGTGCAGGAGTCACTTTGGATTGCAAGATTTTTGTCCAAGAACCGGATGTAATGGTTCAGCAGCATGCTTGACTTATCCTCCGTGTTGTTTACCTAGCCAATTTGTTTATTCCTGTCATGCAATTCCTAAGGGCGTCTTACAGAAATTTTACTCATCTACCGGTGATTCTTGTCTCCAATGTAGCTTTGGTTAGCAACAAAATCTTATAAACCCTAACTGTCATTACTTGCAAGAATTTCTGAGTAATAAAAAATTGTAAAGATTATAAAATTGTTATTTTTATAAACAACAAACTGAATTGACACTAGTAATATAAAAATGATTGTACACTGTATCTTTTTGTTTTCAAATTATTACCATTTCGCGGATTTTGGGAGTCGGTTAAAATTTGCTGCCTTGATGTTTATTCCGGTCAAAAAGAATAGTAGATAACCTCTTACAGACCGTTTGAAATGTCAGAATATAATATTAGGAATGAGAGGAGTAAATCTTAATATTTTACTTAATGAAAAAGATCAAAATAAAACACTTGGTTTGTTATGGGATTTTAAAAATGATGATGATTGATGTTGAAGATTGATTGATGTTGATGATTGATGTTGATGATTGATGTTGATGATTGATGTTGATGATTGATGTTGATGATTGATGTTGATGATTGATGTTGATGATTGATGTTGATGATTGATGTTGATGATTGATGTTGATGATGATGATGATGATATTGATGTTAATGTTGATGATTGATGATATTGATGTTAATGTTGATGATTAATGTTGATGATTGATTTTGATGATTGATGTTGCTGATTGATGTTGATGATTGATTTTGATGATTGATATTGATGATTGAAGTTGATGATTGACGTTATCTGTAGTTTCAAGAAACGTTTGAATTACTAGAAATGTATAAACCATTTCAAACAACACTCAGTTCTTACCAAAGACTTTCAATGACAAATAACCCACATAGCAATAAAAATAATTAGTTGACAAAATAAACACAATATTAGTCCAACATAAGGCATTTTGTTGCTTTTTGGGTGATTTTACTTTTGAACACAAAATTCACAAGATCATAAATCGCAGCAGTAGTTTATTCTTTATTATCATGTTTGTTTTGAACAAAAAGCCTTATCTTAAAGTTTGATACCAAATTTTTTCCTCACAACAAGTTTATTCAGTAATACATGGTAACATTTCTTTGTTATTCGCCTTCTACTGATGAAATGCCATCGCAGTTCATTAAAAATTCAGTTTAAAATACATATAAAAGCGTTTCAAGAATTAAAGTAGATGGTTACGTAATAATCCAACTTCTTTCCTCGAAATGTCCTCACGATTCGGGTCCTCAAAGACATTTAAATAAAATTAGAACTTTTGTAATAAAAAGTTTTATCACCAAATGGAAAATATTAAAATGCCTTGGAATTCCTAAAGTGTAGAAGTACACACAACCCCCTCGAGTGCACTTTTGCCTCTCGGTGTTGATATCTGTTCGTTCTAAACAGCGTTGCCGCGTCGGTCAGGATAAAACTTGTTTTTATAAGTTTATATGTGTAAATGAGTCGAGAAATATTACAGACAGTAAAAAAAAATAAACCCAACTACTCAATAACTTTTGAAAGTTGATGGTTCCTAAACATAACTAATCTAACGTTTATTATTATTATTATTATTATGAGGGTTTTTGTAGTTTGGAAATCTGTGTAAAGGGTTATTAAAAGCGACGCCATCTCCCCACCTTTTCCGTTCAAAGCATTTTTGGCGCCCCTTTGTTTTTCGAACTTTAGGACAAATATTAAGGCTCCCTACACTTTTTAACCCACTCTACGCTACTGCCTTATTGTATATTAATATTTAAACCAATAGTTATATTAAAACGAATTGTGAATTAATTATTTCTCAATTAAATGTAGGAATAGGAAACTATTAAGCTATTTTTAATACGTATAAAGAAAATGAGCTTACATTTTTTTCATTTTCGTACCGAATGCTAATATTAGATTCATCCTAGAAACTTGGCTCTAGTGCACCGCATAATCAGTCGTTTTTACAAATAATGCAGCGTTAGATATATAGTCTGGGTTGAATTTAGTTGGTAATTTTATAAATTTAAATCATAAAAAAAAATTAATATTTATAAATAATAGTATGGGAAAGAAACCGAAAAAAACGTTCTGGAGAATAACCAGAAAGACATTAAAAAACCTGGGAATCTTAGGATACAGGTAAGTCAATTTTAAATTTAATTTAATATTCTTTTTTTACCATACTTTTGTTTTATGAAATTAATTAAGGTTATAGTGTAATCTGTTGTTTTTTATTCGACACATGAGTTAAACAAATATAAAATTCAGAAAGTTTTAAGGTTTTATGAAATATTTTTTTATTTATTGTTATTAAAATTATATTTTAAGAAAATATTTGCCAAATTTAGTAACATTATGTTGAGAAGTAAAAAAATTGTAGCCTTTAGAAATGTTTGAATTTTCAAATTTAACACCCTATATTTCGAAATCGAGTAATATTTATTTAAGTATGTTCAGTTTTATTTTTAATCAAAAAATCTTCAGTTCTTATGTCCCATTTTTAATTTATCTACCCTAAAAGTAGATTGCTGAAACAATATTATTCATTTCAGTTTCTAACTTTACTTATGTTGATTTTTCAGCAAAAACGAAAACATTTTTGGTATAAATCCCTTTATAATTTCAATAATCTATATAGCCATCACTTTAGCACTATCAGCAATATTTCGAAAAATAGTGAAATTAATTTTTGGAGATAGTCAAAGGATTACAAAATATTTATTACTAGAATTTATCGCCACTGTAGAATTGTGTGCTGCTTGTTATGAATTAATTATTGGTAAGTAAAAACAAATAATATTATTAGATGGCGGAAGTTAATTTCAAAAAATAGTAATTTTTATTTCGAAAAATGTATAAATGTTGCATATTAACACGTTAAAGACCGCATGCCTAACGGTGGGTCACTCCCCAACAACATCACCGGCCCGCGTGCTCGCATGGTGCTCGCGCTTGGGCACGCGAAATTTTTACCTGCCTGGGAACCGCTTGTACACTGGTGGGCATGATTTAAATTCAATTTATGTACAGTAGTTCATTAGCTGGTCTCTCGAAAAGATACTTAGTTAATATGACATAGCATCATTTTAAAACTATTTTTTTTAAATCAAACAAAATTAACGAGTTTTTAAGATGTTCAAGGTAAAATAAAAAATCATTTAGAACACAACTTTTAATATATATTATATTCAATAATTTGTGCTACAACTTATTTAGTTTCGTCAAAGCTAGAATGTGCAAGACAAACTGATTCACCGGTGGACATGCGGTTTACGAAATAGTGGCGTCAAACTAGCATGAAAATGATGAAAACCTGTAACTTTTTGCGGAGAAGTCGGATTGACATGCGGTTTCTTTAAAATTTTCTAAAAATTATCAGTAACAAAACGTAAATCTAATCTCTGTACGCTCGGATATTTATAATTATTTATTTAACAAAATGGACAATTTTCTGTGGGAGTTGACGAGAATATGGAAAACGTGACTGGCCGTTCAACAAAAAGGTCTGTCAAATTTTCTCGGGCTGGTTTTCGAAGGCGCCCATCATCTTGTTGATGTCAAAACTATTATTTATTGTTAAATTGTTGTAACTCGCTAATTAACAAATTGATATCTCTGTTCCAAAAATCATTTCAGCCCTCGATTTTTTTCCAAAAACACTGGGTCCCCGGGGAGCAGCATGCCCACAATGTTGTGGCATGCAATTGTTTATTGTTAAATTGTTGTAATCTCTGTTAGAAGTAATGTTTTGTTCATGCACAACCACAGGTTGTGCAACAGTATGTGGGTGCGGAAGAGCCGGATTATATTGCACTGCGGCGTGTACTAATTGTGCCGTAAATGATTGCACAAACTGCAAACCCATGCTTGCAGAAGATGCTGACGATGGCGATCCCAGCGCTGTCGATTTTGCACATTCGCCGACGTTTGACACGAACATGGAGAATAATCTTTCTTTGGTTGATTCTTTGGAAACAGAAGAAATTGAGGAAAACCTTCATGAAGATTAGGAATAACACATGTACACCAAGAGGAGTTGTTCTGTTATTTTAATTTAAAGTTTATTTCACCTAACAATGTATTTTCCAATAAACATCAATAAAACCTCGTCGTATTATTCGACTGACTTTGATCTTATCTTCACATTTGCAATTAAACAACAATTGCCAGCCATTAACTGAGAGTTCTGATTTAATCCCATTACTTCGATTTTCATTGGAGGAGAGTTATCAATTTGTTAATTAGCGAGTTTACAGCAGTTGAATAATAAACAATTGTGTGACACAATTTTGTGGGGATGCTCCTCCCCAGGGACACAGAGTTTTTGGAGAAAATTCGAGTCCTCTAAAGATTTCAGGAGCAGAGACATCAATTTGTTAATTAGCGAGTTTACAACAATTTAACAATAAACAATTGTGGGCCACAACTTAGTGCCCATGCACCTCCCCAGGACCCAGAAGTTTAGGAGAAAATTTGAGTGCTGTAAAGATTTCGAGACCAGAGATATCATTTTGTTAATTAGGATTACAACAATTTGACAATAAACAATTGTGGACCACAATTTAGTGGGCATGCTGCTCGCCGGGGACCCAGAGTTTTTGGAAAAAAATCGAGGGCTGAAATGATTTTGGCAGCAGAGATATCAATTTGTTAATTAGCGAGATTACAACAATTTAACAATAAACAATTGCATGACACAATTTAGTGGGCATGCTGCTCCACGGGAACCCAGAGTTTTTCGAAAAAAATTGAGGGCTGAAATGATGTTTGGAGCAGATATATCAATTTGTTAATTAACGAGTTTACAACAATTTAACAATGAACAATAGTTTTGGCATCAACAAGATGATGGGCGCCTGCGAAAACCGGCCCGAGAAAATTTTCCAGACCTTTTTCTTGAACGGCCAGTCATGTTTTCAATATTCTCGTCAGCCCCTACAGAAAATTGTCCATTTTGTTAAATAAATAATTATAAATATCCGAGCATACAGAGGTTAGATGTACGTTTTGTTACTGATAATTTTTAGAAAATTTAAAAAAAAAACCGCATGTCGATCCGACTTCTCCGCAAAATGTTATAGGTATAATGCTAGTTTGACACCACTAAAAGTAAATTTACACGGGCACTTAATTAAAATAAAACTAGGGGTTAAATAATGTCTACCTCAAATTATTGTACACTAAAACCATATTAAAAAAATAGTATACCTAATTAACAATAAAAAATACCTGTCCCTATGTGAGAAATAAGATTTTTCAATGCGGTCTTCAACGTGTTAAAGAGGAGTTTTCAGCAGAATATACAAATGAAGCTTTTACCTAGAGAAGGATTGAGTATTTCCTCAAATAAAGTACCTATAATGAAATATTTAGATTTTAGAGGGTAATTTTAATTCAGTTTGAGGACAGTTTTGCGCGAGAGTATCGTAAATATTCCTGTAATTATTTATTGTTCATAGTGTCTTTATATTGTTGATAATTTCTTCATAAATTAAAAACTTTCCACAGTTGGATTTCAAAGTATTTTGCAAAACTGGTACCACAATAGTTGTTTGGTAAAAAAGTTTAAAAGTATTATAATATTTTTAACGCCTTACATTGAAATTTCAAACAAGAATATAACTTTTCTTTCACTGATTGGTTAATAAATGATTATGGAAAAATATTCATATCTAATAACTAAATAGCTTCTTCAATTCTTGGTAGAATTTTCACAAAAAAAACGTGCTATAAATATTTATAGCAGCAGCATTTTGCATTTAACAACAAATGTTTAAAGAAACCGGGAGAAATCTCTGAACTATATATTAAAATGGAAGAACAGAGACGATCGTAGTTACACTCATGGGAAACGTGACGTAGAATGCTCGAAATTGACAGTCTGGCGTCCAAATTGTCATGCGCACCGACCGTTTTTTTTTTCTCCCATGTTGGCTTAGAAATTAGAAGTAGGGTTTATGTCATATAGCCATCTTGTTTAATATCAAGGTCGGTGGGAGAAATACAGACTATTAATAATAAAAAATAAAACGCAATGCTACGCCTATGTTTTAACATTATTGACAGCTGATTTTGATAAATGCCTTTTAACCTTTAAATGTAAAATACCCTACGAATTAAGAAACTCTTCCTTTTTTGAAATCAATTAAAAATACCCCAAAATAAAAAGTTTTTTTAAGTTACTGTTACAACAGGCTATGTAAATGACAAAAGGATATAAGAAAAACCAAAAATTGAACAAAAAAAAAAACAGCCTCTTTATGTGACCCGATTTTTTATGTCATTAGTGTCAATTTTGTTTTGTCAAGTTGGTTGCACTTGTATAAAAGTTAATGAAGTGGAGAGCACCACATGAAAATCAATAGGTTCTTTCGTTCGCTATTGGTGTAGTGTCCACCAGTGTAAATTACACCAGTTACACCACCTTATTTACCCTAATTTACTTCCTCCTTATTCCTTATACACATCGTCGAGTGTAATTCACTCCTGCTAAATAGCTGGTGGAGAAAATATCCACCAGTCTACACCACATCGCCGACAGGAAGGTATAGTGGGTTTTACACCGGACCAAACGAAAGGTATGAGTGTGGGTTGGTGTAGTTCATTACTACACCCAACTACACCAGTGGGACGAACGAAAGAACCTAAAGTATGTGGGAAAGCACCGACCTTGATATTAAACTGGATGGCTATATGACATAAAACCTACTCCTAATTTCTAAGCCGACATGGGCGAAAAAACGGTCGGTGCGCATGACAATTTGGACGCCAAACTGTCAATTTCGATCATTACGTCACGTTTTCCAAGGGCGTACTACTACAAATTATATTATTTTTTATTAATAAAGCGCTATTTTAATGATAATTATTATTGGAACATTTGTTTCAGCTGCGTATTAATTAAAAATAATTTTTAAGTGATTTTCTTAAATTAAAAGGTGTCATAGTTGAATGTAATGAGTGTTAAATTTAATTTTGATCTTTTTTAGTACATTTCGATAAGCATATGTGGGCACCAAAGTGTCAAATATCACCTCGCTATGCGGCTTGAGTTTGTTGTTCGGCTTTGTTTTTCCAGTTTAATATATAGTTCAGTGGTGGAGAGGGGTAGAATGATAACTGTCGATAAAAAAATATAGACACTCAAGCTTCAGGGGTGGTTTAGGAACATTTTGTACAACAATTATAAAATAGTGCATCGGAAAATAAATAACTTAATTTAATACTAAATCGAAAAAATAAGTAAGCCAACAAAGAATGGACACCAAAAAAACTTACAACAGCAACAACACAAACAAAAAACAGAGTTGAACACGAACATAGTCGCTGTACAAAGCCAAGCCTGTAATTTATTTACAGAACTTTAGGGCAATATCTCATTGTCATTTACGTGTGTAAGAGTGGAAGGTTGAATTATGCATAATTTCTACACTCCTGATGGTACCTTATCATTCTACCCTCTCTACTTCTTTGATAGAAGTCTTCGATTGTCTTCCATTAGGCATTTCAAATAAAATGGCTACCAGTGGGTTTTAATAATAAGATATATGTTATTAAAAAGGACCCTATTGGGCGTGGCTTAAATGATAGTCTAAGCGGGGTCGTATTTAGATCTAATTAAAGTCGCCTTTACAGAATTACTATTTTTAAATGAGTGTTATACCTAAGATTTGTTTCAACATGACCAATTTATTGCACGACTGTGACTTCTACATTATATTTTAACACTTTTAAAACTGAATTAAATTAGATAAATGTTGCCAAGAGCACACAAGAGACTAATATATTTATCAACTGTGCTGCAAGATGTATATAAGTATAGGTATTTAAAAAAGAACATTTTTTAGTTGCAGACAACTGGGGGGTATCCACATATGCTATTTTTCTCTTTTTGTTAACGGTATGGTGGGGAACACAATGGGAAGACGCTTCTGCTTGTCCGTATTGCCCTATAGAGGAAGTATTAGAAGGTAGCAAAAATATGAAAACCGCTATTTTAACGATTGCATCTCAACTCGTGGGTGCTCTTATAACATTTAAGTAAGTATAATAGTTTGAAATAATACAAATACAAACTGAGTATTTTTGTCTTATTGTGCAAACAACTTCAATTGAAGGGTTTATTACAAAATCCAGAAAAGATGACAAAAGGCCTGTAATTTTCCGTTAACTTCCCATCAATCGGCCATTAATTGCAAACATACTTATTTCTAGAGATTACGGGAAAATTGAGGCCTATAAATCGGATTAGATGGTTAAGTGACATCAGCCCGACTGTCGGCCATATTGACCTATATATACCGGTCTTTTCAATGGTCATCATTACACTTGGAGGGTAACAGTTATTAGGCTTTTTATTCCCCTACACAAAACGTTTTTTGGGTCATTTCTCTCAGTGTAGGATTCAGCATCTAGCGACACAGTATTCCAAAATGGTTTTTGTAAGAAATCCTTCAATAGAAATGCTGTTGATAACAATTTATTCCTCTGATACTTTTTAATTTATGATCTTATTGAATATCAGCCGTTTTTAGATACGTTCAAGTATTATGGTCGTTAGAACTAGTGGAGACCCATATAGACAAAGCTTATGAAGACTGCACAGCTGATTTGCAGGTAGATATGAGCGTTGGAGCGGTAATTGAAGCCATTGCTACATGTCTCTGCAGGCTAGTATCGAGATTTCTTAGCGAAACCGATGCTGCCTTCGGAAGCTATTTTGATGCGTTTTTTGGAACAATGATGGTAGTTGCAGGTAAATTTATCGACATATAAAATCTATAAACTTCATTTTCTTTGGAGATGTTAAAATTATATTTTAAAGAGCTCGTTTTAATATAAATATCAAATTAATAATTGTATCGCAGAGAACATTGTCAGTAACACCAAAATGTCATCCAATAGTTCAATCACACACCACCAATACAATGGTATAATATACAAGCTTAGAACATATATTTCATGGGGTCCGCATTCAATAGCGTTTGTTTGGGTTAAGAGGGGAAATGTGTAGACACTATTGCCAGTGTCGCATCATTTTTACGGGGTTTGCAATTAATATAAATAATAAATTTGATACATATCTTCAAAATTCTTTAAATTATGCACATATTTTATAAAATTGCATTATTTAAGTAGGTATCTAAGTAAATTATTATTTGTGTTGGACACATCAGAGTACAGAAGTTAGTAATGTTTGATGTGTTAGAAAAAATTGAGCCCATTAGCCTAACATCGGCGTTGCGTTTAATTTTATAGAGATTATAGAGATTGTGATTACAAAAAGAAAATTTTGACCATTTTAAAAGCATTAATATTAGTTTTCCAATTAAAGAAAATTTGTAGAAACTTTTCTTAGTCATCTTCTTATTATTTTCGAGATTCAAAAGCAATAAATGTAATTTTAACATCGTTTTAAGAAGAAAATATAATACAAAATATGTATTTTGTAGCATTTAACTTCTCTGGAGGATATTTCAATCCAGCTCTAGCAACTTCTTTAAAACTGGGATGCGATGGAAATACATTGTTGGAACATGTAATTGTTTACTGGTTTGGAGCAATTTTTGGATCTATTTTGGCCGTTTTTATTTACAAGATAAAATTTACACAGAATTTTATTGCTTCGATGAAGTCAAAAGTTGAATAAGAGTTTTAAAAATGTTTCACTACAAATAAAATTAGGTATTTTCTGACGAAGATATTATTTTTTAGCGAACTTACGTTACCAGTGCGGAAATTGTAATGTTACATACCACTTACTTCATTTTTATTGTAATCAAGAAAAATTATTTGTAATATAAATCAGGAAATATAATATAATATAGAAAGTTGATCTTTTCCCCTTAAAAACCCTTGAAATCCGTATGTATATTGAACAGCCAATAACTTCTGATTTTTTTCTTCCTATCCAAATAATCACATGGTTGTAAGTAATCAATTATTTTGATTAATTGTACATTAATCGATTATTTAAAATAATTGATTAATCGATTTTTATTTTGATGATCTCCCTTCCTACTTATACCCAGATAGCACACGACGTCTGAAAGACGTCTTTTTTGTGTCTTGGTTTGGTTTCAATGTCCTAGGACGTTATTAAGACGTCTTATAAGACGTTTGTCAAAAACCATAATTCAGACGTATTAATGTGAGAGCTCAAAGACGTTTCTAAGACGTCTTTCCAAATCCATATCTTAATGTGAAAGCTCAAAGACGTCTTTAAGACGTCTTACAAACGTCTTTCAGTCGGACGGAAACTTGCACGGTTTACATAATTCAAAGTGAAGTTTGACGTTTGACTTAACACTGCATTCAAGCCAATGAAGTGGAGAGGGGTAGAATGATAACTGTCAATGAAAAAGTCTTAGACACTATGCACAATTTCGTTTTGCACACTTTGTAAACAAGATTCAGGGACGGTTTAACAACATTTTGTGCAACAATTATAAAATAGTGCTTTACAAGACCATTATAAGCCATGAATAAGACGTCTTATTTATGGTTTATTTAAGGCTTCATAATACCATTATAAGCCATTAATAAGACGTCTTATTTATGGCTTATTTAAGGCTTCATAAGACCATTATAAGCTATTAATGAGCCGTCTTATTTAAGGCTTCACAAGACCATTACAAGCTATTAATACCAGACGTCTTAAAGACGTCTCGAATGTGTTATGCTAGACGTCTTTAAGACGACTTTGTGCTATCTGGGTAACCATGTGATTACATCGATTATTTCAATTAATTGATAATTATCGATTATTTTAAATAATTGATTCTTTATTTTGATAATCTCACAGCTTTACTTACAACCATGGGCTCGATCTCCTTGTATTAACTCAATACGAAATATTTCTCATAGAAATTATATATTTCTTAAGCCAAATATTTGTGAAACACCCGTAATAAGGCAGAATATTGATTAAATATACGTTTTTCAACAATTCTTACAGCTTTTAGTTATTTATGTGCAGTTATAGTCTAAAAATCTTTCATTCAAAATTTGTCCAAACAAATAAATTGTATTTAAACGAATAAAATCTACTTTTTTGTAGGATTGTTATATTTTACGAGGGTGGATCAATAAGTACCCGTGTTTGAAGGCAGGTGGCGTTACTGAGGGAAGTTGGCATTACACCATACTAAATTTCAAAATGGAAAAAGAACAATATCAATTCGTAATTCGCTTTTTATTTTTTGAAATAAAAGCAAAGTTGGATGCTGTCTATAGGGACCCTTAACCATCTATGACAACCGTAAGATATTGGTTCAACGAATTTAAACGTGGTCCTCCTACATATATTTTTGATGAGGAGCGACTAGGTCGTCCGGCACACGTTGTTACAGAGGAAATCGTAAAAAAGGTCGAAGACATGATTGTCGCAGATCGCCGAATGAAAGTGCGAGAAGTAGCAGAGACCGTAGGCGTATCATACGGAACGGCAATTAATATTTTGCATAATAAGTTAAACATGAGAAATATATCGACCCGACGGGTGCCGATACGGCTGTGAATGTCGAAGCATGGTTTTCTCATCTAAAGATGAAAACACTTTTAAGTAAATGAAATCCTTCGTTCAACACAGGACAGGTACAAAACAACCAAGGTATCATGTGAGTCCAATGTGTCGAAAATGAAATTATAGAGATTCGTATTAAATAGACCAATTGCGCTTAGTCATACTGGAGTAACGGATAAGTTAAGATTTAGGTTATGATCAGTTAAGGTTTAGGTTAGGATAAGTTTTGGTTTAGGATATGTTTAGGTTAGGATAGTTTTTGATTTAAGGTAGGTTTAGGTTAGGATAGTTTTTGGTTTAAGATAGGTTTAGAATAGGTTTAGGTTAAGTTTAATATAGGTTAAGGTTAGGATAGTTTTTATTTACACTAAGTATCTACAACTCTATATACAATATCTAATCTTCGTTCTGATCTTCAGGCTCATTCCTATCAGGATCTATATCCTCTAGATCTGGGGGATGGGCTTTCAGATCCTTGGCATGCCAAATACCTATTGACCTACCATCTGTATCTCGCAGTTCATATGACCAGGGAGATAGTATCCAACATATTTTGTAAGGTCCAACATATTTAGGTGCTAACTTCGAAGTAAAATGTTTCGAGGCATCAGATAGGGAAAAATGTCGTTTCCACACATCTTGGTTGAGTGTAAACGTATCAGGTCGATGTCTTAAGTTATATGTCTTACTGCTACGCTCATAAGCCTTCTTTAGTCTACAACCAACATCCTTGTAAACCTCTTCCAGAGCTTTACTCCGAGAAATAAGTTCCTCACTTCTGTCGAAGTCGAGTACATCATTTAGAGGTATACCCTCGTTCCTAATAATTGGTATTTCGCGACCGTATACAATGAAATTGGGGGGTTAAACCCGTAACTTCATGACGTGCAGATCGAATGGCCCAACCTATCTTCGAAAGATGTTTGTCCCATGTCCGGTGATTTCCACCTACGTAACAACGTAACATGGTTTTTACCACACGATTCACTCTTTCCCCACGTTGGGCGCCAAATTTGCTATGACCTACAGAGCAAAACAATATATTATGGGGAATTATTAATTATCTCTGCTCAGTCAGAGAGAGGGTCGCAGGTAATTTTTACTTTTTGTCCTCGAATTTGGCTGACTGATTGATTTGGTTAAGACCGTTTGGCGATTGTACCGAGATACAATCGATTATTACCTGGGTAAATTATCTTATGGACACCGCAAATGAAAAAGAAGAATAGAATAATTTTAAGGGTTATGGTATATAATTAAAACGTGATTATTAGATATTAAAGGAGAAACTTGAGGTTTTATTCAATACCTAGCTATAATTTCGGTTGTATAGGTAAGTCCTTTGAATTTAATATACAGCTTACGTACCGTTTAAAATAGATATGTATTCTGGATGGCTTACAAAATAAATGATTTTAATATATATATATATATATATATATATATATATATATATATATATATATATATATATATATATATATATATATATATATATATATATATATACAAACTAACAGGTTATTAATATTTATAATTTTCAGAATATTCCCAAACACTGAGGGTGGAGATATTTTGTGGGATAACACCTTCTTTCTGATAGTCTTGAGCTAGTATAATCAGTAAAATTCCTACCTTGAAAATTGACACTATCTTACATAGGCAAGGGTTGAATTCGAAGACCTCTTTGGAAGGGTTACTTGACAAAATATTGGATTCGAAGGTATGAATAGGTCCACTTATTTAACCTCCAATTAAAATATCGTCCTTTTCTTCGTTTGTAGGTAACTCCAGTGAGTAAGGGATGAAAATGGTGTCTCAATAGTTTACTACTATCCAGCAGTAAGGTTCTCAAATACAGCTGTCCTTGAGACTACCTCAAATTAATGTGATGTCCGGAATTACAAGTAACTGTTCCAATGTAAATTAATCGAACAAGAAAAATGAAATGAAACTATCTATGACTACGATAGCCAGAAAATAAAAAGGCCTAAAATACAAAATACTACTTTATATATACAATCTTATATTAAGGAAGGACAAATAAGTGATAATTGAGAAATTACTGTACCTGTGAGTTGAAATGTGGCCTTTTTAGAAGTAAGTTTTGCTTAATTGAAAATAAAATCCTCTTGTGAGATTAATTATATTAAGTAAATTTTCAATCAGTCTTTTCGTTTCTAGTACCTTATATCCTCATAAAAAGATCTTCAAAAACACATGTTCCATGAAGGGATACTAGAAGAATGAAAAATGGAAGCAGGATATGCACCGACAAAATTAATGACTTCTACAGGAAATGATAATAAAATATGACAGGTAATTTAAAATATTATTAGCCAATTTCTCACAATCACCTACCTAATTCCAAAATTACCCAATTATTTGGGGTTTTAATTATTTGTAATGAATTAGACAATTACCTGAATAAATTTGAATGACATAATGTCATATTTAAAATAAAATAAATATCTGATGTTTCCAACACGTGGGATTTTCTATCTAGTTATTACAAGCTTTTTTTTAGAAGATAAATTAAATATTTACATTTTCCACATACTTTTTTTTATATAAACACATCTCCAAAAGTAATGTACCCCGCTTTTAAGGTTTATTTTTGACTATTTTTAAAACAAAAAAAAATATGTACGTGTAGGTAAAGGTTAAATCTATACTTTTCCAAAACTAGTTTTTCAAAATTCAATTTAGTTTTTTCTAAAAAAAATTGAGAAAATGGGTAAAAAAGTTTTGCGCAACTTTCCAAACAGAAAATCTTGCAATGTAAGGATTTCGTAGTACCCCACTTTTTAAGTTTATTTTTGACTATTTTTAAAAGAAAAACATGTACGTATAGGTAAAGGTTGAATCTATGCATTTCCAGAACTACTTTTTTAAAAAAGCTTTTTTTTTAGAAGATAAACTGAATATTTACATTTTCCACATACTTTTTTTATTTAAACATCTCCAAAAGTACCTCGTTTTTAAGGTTTATTTTTGACTATTTTTAAAAGAAAAAAAAATATGTACGTGTAGGTAAAGGTTGAATCTATGCTTTTCTAAAACTACTTTTTCCAAATTCAATTTAGTTTTCTAAAAAAAAATTGAGAAAATTGGTAAAAAAAAAAAATTTTTTTTCTTTTTAGATTCAAATTTTGAAAAAGTGCAGATTTAACCTTTATCTAAAACTATTTTGAAATCTGTTTTTATAACAACGAATTCATTTTATTACCTCCAAACAAAGAAAATGAACCCTGAAACCATTTATAAAATTCAA